ATGGACACTGGTAATGAGAACTAGCAAAAGAAAATTTGAGATGAAGCTACAACACCACAGAACACTAACCATCCAGAACTGCGTAGGCGAAACAGCATTGACACTTTTATCAAGATCACCAAATAGCTCACGTGTGGCAACTGTGAGCATATGAGAAGTCTGGTCGACATCATTGTTTCGTCCAGCAAGTGAGTAACTATTAAGAGGAATTTTTTCCTATTAGATAACGATTCTGAATATAGACAGTGTCCTGGTTTTTATTGTTAAAAAAAAAAAAACAGTAAAGGACAAGAGATGAAATTACTTGGATAATGCAGATTTCAGCTCCGGGACAGTTTTCAAGCATTGCAATGTGGAGTTCATGTAACACGTGTTGCCAAGATTGACAAGGCCAGCACTGTAACCCTGAAACCAATTGTAATGTTAGTTAGTTGATAGCAAAAATACCCAAATGTTATGAATATACAAACAAAACATGACACCCAACTTTCACAAACTACAATCTCTAGGTGAATTTGTGTGTGTGGGGTTTTGGAATTCCTAAGTTTATGCCTGAGGGAGTTGGGGATTCTCGCATATCCCTAGGTTTTAGGTTTTGCCATTTGATTCCATATGAGGGGATACCCCAAGCTCGATACCACACACGTGCACACTTATGATTCAGCAGTAAAACGAGTTACCAGATTAGCGGCTTGCTCTTCTTCAGGTAGATCCTCTGCAAAAACAATGGCCTTTTCGGGAGCTTTCACTATTTCATCTGCAGTTCCCATCATCATCAATTTTTGGCCCTAGAATGAACAACAATCAATAGAATAAGCATCATCTCAAAACGAAGCAATTCAGGAAACACACAAAAGAGTGCCAATGAATGCAAAGAAAGAGCTTTTTTACATTTTTCACTCCGATAGCGGACCAATCTGCATCATCCTGCGTCAAATCAAAAGGGATAGACGATTCTCATCAACATAGATAAACAATCTGGGGAAAGTGATAACACAGATCCTAAGTAACCTATAGATCAAATCACCTTTAGGAGTCCACCTTTGACCATGATCTTTTGCCTCTCCGGTGGTACACCAGTCAAATCATACAACTGAGCCTTGAAAACATACGGAGGCAGAGTCACGTCGATCTCGATGCCTTCAAACACCTTCTTCTGCCACTTCACGCTTACTGTAAAACCCAACAAAAAAAAAACCTAATCATCATCTTCCTTCTCACAACGGAGGGAGAAAACAAGATCCGATTCCAGTTTACGAGAATTCCAAATCGCAGGATAAGAGCACATCACAACATCCCACCGACAGGAACGGATTTGAAGTTCAATAAATCGATTTCAGTGTTTGATTATCGGAGAAATCGAAAGAGAAGGAACCTGAGAGCATCTTCGCCGTGAGAAGTGAGAGGTTTCTTGCTTGAGGGGACGGCAACGAGACAATTTGTTCCTTCTTTTCTGAATTTTTTTTGTTTTCTTTCTCTTTTGGTTTTCTACCAAGTTCCCGATGGTCCTTTGAAATAATGTCAGCGTCTCTTCCTTTTTAGGGTACCCGCCCGGATGTAACGGGTCAGGTTTAAAACCTTCGGGTCGGGCGGAGTCGGTTCCGGTCGGGTTTGTCCCTGTACGTTCGGGTCGGGCAAAGTCGGTTCCGGTTGGGTTTGTCCCTCTAAAAATCGGTTTAAAAATTGAGTGAAATCAGTGAAAATATATTTAACAGTTTTTCCTTTCGTTTTTTTTCCTTCCGCATTTTAACCATATAAAATATCAATTTGTTTCATTTTAACAGTTTAGCATTTTTAAATTGTTGTTTTCTGAAGTGAAAAAAATTCTTGTTATAAAAATTGGTTAAAGTTGTTTCATTTATTAATTAAACTAGGTATATAATTCGCGCTACGCATGAGTCTGTATTAATATTTTGGTTAATTTTTTAGCTACTATCTTTAAAATTATTAAAAATTATACATATTTATAGAAATTTTCATTTATATAAGAGAATTTAATATATAATGTGTAATTTATCCTATTTTTATTCATAAATTTTAAAAAACTATTATATAAAATAATAATAATGACATATATCGAATTATCCAACTTTGACATACATATACATTTGATTTAGAAAAATATAATCTTGCTAAGATTTTGGTATTATTTATATAGTTCTTTTTTTCTTGAAAGTTTATGTGTTCAAATATTTAGTTTTTTATTGAAAGTCTTATTGATGTTGTGTACCACTGTATATATAATCCATGATTCATGTTAATTCACATTTAATTTTGTTAGGAAGCTGTTATGATCATGCAAAACCATTTTTTGCTTCTCCATCATGTCTTCCAAAAGTTTTATGTTATACTTTTATTCAGTTTTCATTGTTCTAATTGTTAAATCTAGTTGTTGTATATTTTTTTTAAATTGATAATTGATAATGGTTACTTTTTTTATACATGTATTGTTAATTTTTATATTTAAGTTTTAAAATTTTAAACCATATTAACATTTTCTGATTTAATAAATACTAGTTCTTACAAATCAAAGCTAAAAAAGGAAAGACTTTTAGTGCTAGAATAGTATGAAAATAATAAGATCTAAGTTGTCTAACCATTTTAGGACTTTAGTATTTATCGGAAAGCTTAGAAACCCATAATAAACCAAGAATAAACCAAATTAAAGCTAACTCGGGTGGACCATATCAGCCTCTTACATTGATACAGACATTGATATTGGGTCTTCATGTGGCTGCATCAACATGCTCCTGCTCGATATTGTGATTGATACACAAGGCTTCAAAGGTGTATTGTTTTGGCTCTCCTGGTGTAGACATCAATACAATCGCCTTTTCCTAAGGCATATGGAGCAGCTTCATGTCGATATTGGACTTTGATATTGTCCTGTCTCTGGTGTATCGACTTGGGTGGTTGATACACTGATCGGTATATATCATCCTTGGCGTATCGAGGTCCTCCTTGTCGATATGTTGTCTTTGTACACCATGCTCCTTCTGTATCGACGTGGAGTCTTCGATATTGACCTCAGTATGCTCCATATCGTTCAGATCACATCGATAGCCTGCTCGATATTAGCCCATCCGACCTTGTCCTTCTCCTTGCTCCATTCCCAGCTCACATCCATTGCACCACTTGGTCTCCAAACTCCTTCTAGTACCTGAATAAAACTCCAAATGCATGAAAAATGCAATGCAACTCCTAAAACTACATTAACTTCTAAATGTATGCAAATGGGACAAGAAGAAGCAAAATATGCGTGCTAAGAGACTAAAACTGGTGATGAATGCATGCTAAGATGGTATAAATAATAGAGATATTAAGTGTTTATTGGCTTTATAGAACTGAAGTTTCATGTTTGTTTATTATCTTTTCACTAGTGTAAATTAGTTATAATTAGCAAAGTGATTTGTACCAATAGATTAGATTAGTCTTGTTTAAGAGTTTATGCATAAGGATTAACATTTTTGACTTTTTGTGATTGTTTAAGCATCATAGGTCAATTTGAGAGTCACCATAACTCAACTATCCCATCCTAGGATCATTTGTCTTATTTGATCATCTTATTTTACGAATTTCCTTGTTCTTGTTTTGTTGAGTTTAATTGCTTAGTGTTTGAGTTAGCTTTGTATTGGTTATATCTTCTTATTCACTAGGTTGGTAGAAACAACAAACTTCCTTAAATTTGATTAGCTTAGATACTTTCATGCATTCTTTAGTGTTGTTAATCTTAATTAACCCCTATGGATTGATCTTTAAGAACTACAATGACATGAATAGGCTTGAGTAACTGATTGTAAAAATCATATATCAGTTTTGCAATGGCCATAAACAAAAGCTAACGACAATTACTTGAGAATGTCGGTTTGTTTCTACCTAGACCAGTTTTCTCTTATAAACCGCTATATGTTGTATTATTTAGAGTGAAGTGTAGATTCAGACTTAAAGTTCTCATAAAAGACAAAGAACAAATTGTGCAAAAGAAAACTATGAACGTCGTCTATAAGAAGTGTTTCAAAATCTTGTTTTTTTTTGTTTTTGATATATTTTAACTCTATTTATTGTATGTTTTAATATTTTCTGTTTATTTAATCATCATATTTACATTTTTGGTATATGATTTTTCTATTGTTAATTTATATTAAAAATCTATAGCATTTTACATTTGATCTATGATTGTTTTTCTTTATTTAATATTTTTACAATGTTATTACTTGAAACATAATTAATTCTATTCAAATATTAATAAATCAATATACAATATCAATCATATATTGAACATATAAAATATTTTATAACCAGTACCCGATAACGTGGTTAAAATTAAGAGTGGAGTAATCAAGCTAAGAAAAAGTGTAAATCAATATGTTGGTCATCTTACTCTATCTTTGAGCTGCGTTATGAAGAATCTGATAAGCAAATCTCATCTATTTACGAACAAGCGTCGTGCTAGAGATTAAGCACAACAAGTCATGTCTAGAAATGCATTCATTCAAACCATAAAGCAAATGTATCTTAACTACTTTTGATCATTCAAATTATAAATGCACACTTTATCTTTGTTGTTACTTTTAATTGCAAAACCTGAAAAAAGGTAAGCTTGTGATTCTGCTTGATGCTGTAACTTATATTACTTAGTTATGTTCTCACTTTGCTCAAATTGTAGTGAGTAGAGTTTTGTAAAATTTTGGCTACACAGGTTTCTCACATGTCTCTAAAGTCGTCCGCTAATTTTGCCATTCTAGACGAAGAATTTTGTGCAATGAGGAAGATAAGTAAAGTAGTCTATATGATTAAGATCAATCCTACAAATATGTTGAAATATTACAGCTCCTAAGGCATAACGCTGCAGTAGTTTTGAGGCTTTGATATGATGTTATCCTCTTATAGCCTGATTAAGAACTCTAGTTTATACAATACTTCCATCAGGAGCTTGTTCCAAGAGTGATTATTAATACAATCAAGGGTACAATTAACTAATTGAATGTCTAAAGAATAAATCAGCCTGAGTTTTTTTTTGCTCTTTGTACTTCCAAGTCATTAAGATAGTTCTGGTACATAAATAAAGCCAATCCCGGGATGGCCGTGACCATTCCTATCATCTTACCAACAGTCAACTTGTCATGGAACACGAAAATTGCTGCGAGAGGCGTTACAATGAGGGAGAGAGTACCGATAAGGTTCGAAAACAGCGAAGACACGAGAAATATGAGCGCTAGGGCTGCTACGGAACCCAATTGCCATGAAAATGCTGTCCCAAGCAAAGTCAAAACATAGATGAATTGACCCTTATGAAACTCCTCCATCTCCATCCTCAACATCTTCCATTCCCCGCTCGCAAAAAGCCCGATAACTGAGACACAAGAGGCGACAAGAGATGTGTAGATTTGCATTTCAAGAACCATACCAAATGTCTCTTTCTTGATAATTCTCTCAAAGGAGAATTGCATAAGTGAGAGTTGAAGAGAATATAGGAAAGAAGCAAGAAGCGTAAGTGAAACACCGGTAAGGTAAAGCCACTTAGAGCCTCCTGATGGGCCGTTCGGATCATCGTCGAGAGCAATCACTGAGGCAGAGATAGTAAGGAGACTCACTGACGCGAGAATCAAGAAAGTGAACTTTTGAGAATTGATGAAATAAGAGAAGATGGCATTAAAGATTAACTGTGTGCCGCAAGTAAGTGAATAGGTCGAAGCTGAGAGTAACAAAAGACCGTAAGAGTATAACAGATTGTCCAAACCAATGGCGAGACCAAGAGAAAGATATATCAGAAACAGAGTCTTGGAAGAAGAAGAGGAAGAAGAAGAGGAAGAAGAAGAAGAAGAGTTTGAAGCAGGAAGGAGACAAAGAGGGAGATAAAGAATTGGAAATCCAACAGTTTGGACAAGAGTTGAGATCCATTTACTGTTTCCACCTTGGTCGAAGTAAAATCTACCGAGAAGAACAGCGACGGCTTGAGCAGAGATGAGGAAGAAGATGTTGATTAAGACAAGAATCCACCATTGACTTCGTTTTAGCTTCATGATTTGAGGAAGGACTTTACTACTTCCTTCATCTTCTTCCTTTATCAGCATCGATTCCTCTTCATCTGTCACCAACAAGAACACATATAGCTTTCAAGAAATATATCAAGAAAAACCCAATTTCTTTTCAATCAATTTTAGTTCAGCTTAACAGAGAAGGTGGAAAGACAGAAACTTCTAATTAAATCTGGGATTTTTTGTTTTTGATCGAAATTGAAAACGAAATTAGATTACCCATGTTGAGGGGAGAGTTCACTGATGGATGAATCATTTTTGCTTCAGGATCGAAAAGTCTGAAGACGTAGCTGTTCTGACTTTTTTTTTTTTTCGGTAAAAACAAAAAGATATCAATTATAAAAACCAAAGAGATAAAGAATAAGTTGTACTAAATCTTTTTGGTACAACTTATGAAGTGGACATGGATGGGTTGATCTGATGTGCCACCGAAGAGCTCAAATTTCACAATTTGCAGAAAGTTGATCTGATGTGCCACCGATTAATCTAATGTCATTCATTAAATCAAATTAATATGAAATTCCTAAATTATCTTTACTGAAGATAAATTAATAATAAATTATATAAATAAAATAAAAAAACCAAAAAATATATTTTGTCTTCTTCCCAATTTTTTATCCTCTTCCCCACGAGCTCTTCATATTCTCCACCCAATTTATTTATACAAAACTCTTTTTGTCAACAATTTTTTTTCCACAGATCCAGATTATAATTTTTTCTCCTCTTTTGCAATTGTTTTCTTCTCTCCTTCTTTACCATTATTAAAAATCCAATTTTTAAGATGAATTATTCATGTTTATTTAGAGATATTTTATAAAATTAGGAATTTGAATTTAAAAAATTAAAAATTTAAATTGGTAACTATGTATTATAGATAGATTAACGTTATCTTCGGTAGTTTGTAAGAAAAATGTGGTTATATTATCTTATGTAAAATCTGAGTTTGAGTTCACCCAATCTGCAATTACAGAACAACTGGTACAACTGAGGGTTAGAATACAAGTAGTACGAAATGGTACAACTAAGAGATTGTGTTCAACTGGTACAACTGTGATACAACCGAGACTGATTATTTTTATTCTACTTTTACGGGAGAATGAACATCAACCACACAAGCATACATTTTAACTACGGAATGAGTTATTCACATCACATTAATCACATCTGTAATAGTTGTGTATGAATTTCTATATCGCATAAAGTTGGTACAACTATGTTCATATGGTTCAACTATGCTTCAATTTTATAAAAGTAATTAAATTAAACAATTATGAAAAACCATAAACAAATAAACTAACTAAGAAGTCTAAACACATATTCAACTATAAAAAAAAAATTAATAGTATGGATAACACTGATTTATCAGTTTCAAAATATATATTTTTGTTTTCACATCAAGCATATCTTACAATATAAGAAATACTTATGTAATATTACCCTCTTATGATGCAAAATAGGAAAATTATTAGATTATACATAAATATTTCTATGAAAAAGTTTTAAATGATAATTAAAAGACTAAAATCATTTGTACAACTACACTATAATAGTTTATACAAAGGTTCAACTAAAAATAAAAAAAGTACAACTATTAAGATTTTTGTTCAACTATTAACTTGGATACAACTATGTTAATATTTACTACAAATTTTTCTAATTTTTAACTTTTTCGCGACATAAGTTTTTTAAATATTTTAAATTACTGGCTCTTTGTATTAAATGAGGTTTTTTGTGATGACGTCACCTTCTTTTAACACATGTTTTTCCCGCCGTTATTTTTTTGTTTTATTCTTGCAATTTATTTTAATTCATTTCAAAACTCAGTTGTTCGTAATAGTTATACCTAATATTTATTTTATACCAAAAAACACAAACAATTATTAACTTAATATCTATTTCATACATACTATTAATATGTAATAAATACATAATATCTAAATTAGCTAATAATTTAGAGCATTTGTCGGTTTTGTTGGTACAACTATGTTCATGTGGTTCAACTATGCTTCAATTTTTATATAAAAAATTAAACAATTATGAAAAACCATAAAAAAAATAAACCAACTAAGAAGTCTAAACACATATTCGACTATAAAGAAAGAATTAATAATATGGATGACACTGATTTATTGGTTTTGAAACATATATTTTTGTTTTCACATCAAGCACATATTCCATTATAAGGAAGACTTATGTAATGTTACCCTATTATGATGCAAAAAAAACAAATTATTAGATTATACATAAATGTTTCCATGAAAACTTTGTAAATAATAATTAAAAGACTAAAATCATTTGTACAACTACACTATAATAATTTATACAAAAGTTCAACTAGAAATACTTTAAAATCGTAAAAGTACAGCTATTAAGATTTTTTTTTCAACTATTAACTTGGGTACAACTATGTTAATATTTTATTTCAGAAATTTCTAATTTTTCAGTTTTTCGCGGCATGATTTTTAAAAAAAATCAAAATCCAGTTGAACTTAATAAAACCCAGTTGAACTGTAAAACTTACTCAGTCAAACCATGTATTTCAGTCGTACCTCGATACTTGTGTTATTCATTGTATTTAATAAAATCCAGTCGAACTTAATAAAACCTAGTTGAACCATAAAACTCACCCAGTCGAACCATGTATTCCAGTTGTACCTCGTTACTTGTGTTATTTGTTGTATTTAATAAAATCCAGTTGAACTTTATAAAACCTAGTTGAATCCTAAAACTCATCTAGTCAAACTCAGTCGAACCATGTATTTCAGATATACCTCGTTACTTATGTCATTCATTGCACTTACTAAAATCCAATTGAACTTAATAAAACCCAGTTAAACCATAAAACTCACTCATTCGAACCATGTATTTTAGTTGTACCTCATTACTTGTATCATTCGTTGTACTTAATAAAATTCAGTTGAACTTAATAAAACCTAGTTGGACCGTAAGCCTCACTCAATGGAACCATGTATTTCAGTTGTATCTCGTTAGTTGTGTTATCCATTGTACTTAATAAAATCCAGTTGAACTTAATAAAACTCGGTTGAACCGTAAAACTCACTCAATCGAACTCAGTCGAACTATTTATTTCAGTTGTACATCACAAACATTATATTTTTCATAGTTCTCACAAAAATCCAGATAAAAAATCCCATAGCTTGATGTTGCTGAAGCTCGACCATTGAAGGACTAGCAATATGAATGTTGAACACTGCGAATTTAGCAATGTCCATGATAATGGTGGCCATGTAACTTGGATATTGCTTGTTCCACCCAATGAAACTCACTGATTTTTTTTTTTTACTTTTGAATATGTTGGTTAGCGATCACACGACAAGCATGATCATGCTGCAAACAGAAGGAAAACTGTACCCTCCAAAAAATCATGCAAAACTCTAAATAAAAACCAAACACTTACTATAGGATCTTAAGCTGGATAAAACAAGAAAAACAAAGCACAATACCTCGAACAATAAAAAGTTAGTTGCCAAAATGCAACGGCGAAGAAACATTCCCAAGTTGCTGTTCGGATCCAAAATAATCTGATCATCTTGCACAACTCCAGAATCAAGGCTCCAAACATGATGAAAGCAAGGAAACTAACCTCGTATGTCAATAAAGATATTTAATAGATCACCAGGTGAAGACAGAGAGGAAAATCGATTAGTTAAATGGTCAGTTAGCCATGCATCCATGCCTTAATCACCTTCCCTTAACTGATTAATGAGCTCTTCCAGCTTCAGCTCAAATATATCATCGCAGTACTACATAAAGAATATCAATCTTGTCATGAAAAAAGACAAGTCCACACATCATCATTCATTGAAACCTAAACTAGGAAGAATCGTAAAAATTAATTAAGTTGCAGAATTTTGAGCCCTGAAATTGCTACAACAGTCATTGCTGAACTAAACCTAAAAAAATAAGCAGAGAATGCAATAAAGAAACTCGACACAGCAGCATAGCTTACAGTATAAGAGACGTGCCAAGAAACTCACACGAATCTACATACTTGACAGGACTAAACTTCAAAAGAATACAGAAAAAAAAATATCAGAAAATGCAATTCAACAGAGAACGAAGAGGAAAATAGAAAACCTTAGTAAGAGAGAGCAAGTAGAGGTCGAGGCTGTTATGCTGAGAAACTGAAGATTAAGGAAAGGGAAGAGTCATCGGAGCACAAGCGTGCATCCATGGCGGCAGAGAAACAGCGGAGAAACGACGAAGCCGCCGAGGAGAGCCTGCCGTCTGTGTCGAAGAGAGACTTGAGATCCGTGGCAGTAAGATTGAAATTCATCGTCTGCTCCTCCTTTAATTGAATCAATGGAATTTAAAAAAAATTCTTAGATAAAGAACCCGATGAAGAAAATAAGATGATAATCGAAAGAAAAGAAAAATTAGATAGATTCTAGTTGAGTTAGCAGGTTTAGATGGTTAGGTTATGTAATTTTTTTTAATTCAGTAAGGGTTTAAAGAGTATTTCCAACGTTTTGATTTAAAAAAAAATCAAAATAAATTTTAAATAAGATGATGGCATCCGAGATTAGTTTTTCAACAAAAGTGGCATTTCAGCCATTGTTCCGTTGTGACCCTAGAGGACAAGATAATACGCCTAGAGGGATCACGAAGATGTCTATAACCCCTACATGTGGAACTAGAGTCTCTTCTCTAGGCCATGAAATCATCTATTACTAATAAAAATTGATGCTAAATGGCTCTAAGAGTGTCCACATAGGATTTAAAGATTCAATTCTATTGGTACACATCATCATTATTTTTAGTTAATTATATATTGTATATTAAAATTAATTAATTCATTTTAATTGTTATAAGAAAATTTCTAAATTTTAATTAATTTTTTTTTGTTGTTATTAGGAAAGTTTCTAAATTTTAAGTTAATTATTAATAAAAAAGAGTTTTGAAAATAGATCTTATTTTTCTATTTACAATAAAAAAGTAAATTAACATAAATAGATTATGAAAAAAAAAACATATATAATGAACAAAATTATTAAACATTGTATTCAAAACTATAATTAAATTATTTAAAAATTTTAATCACGACAAATAATTAAATCTGAACTGCTAACTTAATATATATTAGTTGTGGTATGTGTTGATGTCTTAGACCAATGAGAGCGTCCACATAGGACATATGTACTCAATCTGATTGGTCTATATCAGTGTTTTCATTAAAAATAAAAAATAAAAATATTACTAATAATTTAAATAAATTAAAACATACAGAAATATTAA